TAATCATAGAATTAAAACTTAATTTATTTAAAGAAATTATTTTAACTAATTTAGAAAATGTTTCTAAAAGTTATAGATATTCTTTCTCTTCTTTTTTTTTGTGTTGAATTACTTTTGAAAAATTCTGCATTTTCTAACTATAAAAATATATTTTATTTTATATATATATATATTTTTTTATTCGCATTATCTTATTATATGAATTTTATTTTTTAGATTATATTAATATTAAGAACATATTTCCATCGCCAATTTTTTAAACAACTTCGATATTTCAACTGATTGGTGAGCTACTTATTCTTGAAATAATTACATTTTAATATAAAAATTGTGTATCATGAAAATATTTTTCATTAAATAATTTTATAAATTTTTTCATTCAAATTTAATTTTTCTTTCAAATTTAACTTAAGATCATAGCGAAAAAATATTTAAAAAATTTTAAAATTCTCTACACAAATATGTTCAGTTCAATTTGAAAGAAAAACTTGTTAGCGCAGTCCCATTGGGGCTGAAATATGAAACTCACATATCTTTTAGTCTTATTAAACTAATATAACATTCGCAAAGACTGAAATCTTTAAAAGACTATAGTTCTTTTCCAGTAATAATCGATTACCAGGAAATACTGTCTATTTTATTTCTAAATTTCGAACAAAAAATTTGTTTTCTTCTGTTATTGAGAGACACTCTTTGTTTTATTATTTGTCTTGTCAGTATTCGTTTAGTATTTATTCTATTTTTTTTTACTTTCATAATTTGTTATTATTAATCAAAGTATTACCTTAATGAACAAATAACCTTGTTGTACATATTCTTTATATCTACTGCAGATCTCAACAATATATTATCTATCTCTATGAACTTAAACAGACTAATATTGATTATTTTCGAAAGTTAGAATTTAATTAATTTCTGTTTTCGTGTTGACCATATAACAATTCTATCACATCAACAGATGATTTTTGATTAGATGATTATAATCGTTTATCTATACAAAATCAGATATTTCTTTATTTAGAATATTGAATAACATATTATAGCAATTAAAATTTCACGAAAGATTTTATATTATGGAATTTTGTAAGCCTTGTTATTAATTTTGCTCAACGTCTTTAAT